CATGGCTATGGGGGGGCCCTGGGCGTGTGGCTCTGGGGGGTCCCCAGCCCCAGGCATGCGGCTATGGGGAGGGCGAACAGCCATGCCCCCTGGCGCCTGACAACCTCAAAAGGTTGGGGACCACTGATCTAGACAGTACTTGGTCCTGCCGTGAGATTAGGGGTCTGGACATGATGATCTCTTGAGGTCCCTTCCAGTTTTAGGATTATATGCCAGATAGATTTGTTGTTGTTTATGTAAAAGATATTCTTGTCTCTTCTGAAAACTAAAAGGTAAATGAGCAACACATTTACTTTTCCTTGATGGACTTTGGCAGACTTATCTTTATTGCAAAATAGAGAAATGCAAATTCAACAAGGCCATTATTTTTCCCAAGAGAACAATAATAGACTCCTGAAAGGGTCTTTTACCAAAAGATGTAAAGGAAGTTCTGTGCTTTCTTGGATTTGCTTATTTTTTTATCAATGTTTTATTTAAAAGGTTCTACCATCTAGGAGCACCAATAGCTGCACTCCTCCAATAAAAGTTCATTTGGTCTCGTTGTGCAAAGTAGTGTGCTTCAATCAACCAAAGGAAGTATTTGCTTTTGCTCCCATTTCTTGTTCATCCTAGCTTCACCAATCCTTTATGAAGCAGAAACTTTGAAGTTAGCAATCAGGGCTGAAATTTCATAAAATGCAGGCCTCAATAACTAATCCATCTTGGTACCTATTATTAATATAAATTGACCCCCCCACTGAGAAAAAACTGTTAGCTGGGGCAAGGAACTTCCACAATCAAACATGAATTTGAAGAATGGAGACATCTCTTGAAATGGACTTAGTTCTTAAGCAGCCTGCAGGCCAGATGCAGTTCACTATGCTTAACCCCTGGTGGGCCCCCTGCATCTCCGTGAGTACAGCTGCTTGCAGCTCCCACTAGCTAATCACCGATCCTGGCCAATGGAAGCTGCAGGAAGTGGTGTCCTGGACCACATTGCTTCCCACAGTCCCCATTGGCTGGGATCAATAATCCTCAGCCAACAGGAGCTTCAAGCGGCTGCCCCTGTGGATACACAGGTAAATAAAGTGTATAATATAGGCGTCCTAACATTGGTAAGACTCATAGACTCATAGACTTTAAGGTCAGAAGGGACCATTTTGATCATCCAGTCCAACCCCCTGCTAGAATAATCCTCTCACCTATATCTCAGATATTGAAGTCCTTGAAACAATGGTTCAAAGACCCCAAGATGCAGAGAATCCTCCCGCTAGTGACCCGTGCCCCATGATACAGAGGAAGGCAAAAAACCTCCAGGGCCTCTGCCAATCATACCCTGGAGGAAAATTCCTTCCCGACCCTAAATACGGCGATCAGCTGAACCCTGAGCATGTGGGAAAGACTCACCAGCCAGACACCCAGAAAAAAGTTCTCTATAGCAACTCTTGTCTTCCCACCATTGGCCTACTTACCACTGATAGTGGAAGGGCAATTAATTGCCAAGATCATGTTACCTCATCAAACCATTCCCTTCATAAACCCATCTAGCTTTATCTTGAAGCCAGATAGGTCTTTTGCCCCCACTACTTCCCTTGGAAGGCTGTTCCTGAACTTCACTCCTCTGATGGTTAGAAACCTTTGCCTAATTTCGAGTCTAAACTTCCTAATAGCCAGCTAATATCCATTTGTTCTTGTGTCCACATTGGTATTGAGCTTAAATAATTCCTCTCCCTCACTGGCATTTATCCCTCTAATATATTTAAAGAGAGCAATCATATCTCCCCTCAGCCTTCTTTTAGTTAAGGTAAACAAGCCAAGTTCCTTGAGTCTCCTTTCATAAGACAGGTTTTCCATTCCTCGGATCATCCTAGTGTCCCTTCTTTGTACCTGTTCCAGTTTGAATTCATCCTTCTTAAACATGGGAGACCAGAACTGCACAAAGTATTCCAAATGAGGTCTCACCAATGCCTTGTATAACGCCACTAACACCTCCTTATCCCTACTGGAAATACCTCGCCTAATGCATCCCAAGACCGTATTAGCCTTTTTCACAGCCATGTCACAATGGTGGCTCATAGTCATCCTGTGATCAACCAGGACTCCGAGGTCCTTCTCTTCTTCCGTTACTTCTAACTGATGTGTCCCCAGCTTAGAACTAAAATTCTTGTTATTAATCCCTAAATGCATAACCTTACACTTCTCACTATTAAATTTCATCCTATTACTATTACTCCAATATACAGGATCATCCCGATCTTCCTGTATGATATCCCGATCCTTTTCTGAATTGGCAATACCTCCCAACTTTGTGTCATCCACAAACTTAATTAGCACAATCCCACTTTTAGTGCCGACGTCAGTAATAAAAAGATTAAATAATAATGGTCCCAGAACTGATCCCTGAGGAACTCCGCTAGTAACCTCTCTCCAACCTCGTGGAATGAGGTTTACCACCTAATTCGATTTAGGGGCTTTATTCTAGAATCCCGTTTCACTGCCACGTGTAGATGTGGGCAGTTACTTCGGGCTAGTCAATTTCTAAAATGGCGACCGGCCGGGAACATGCAAATCAAGCACGGGATATTTAAATCCCGGGCTTGATTTGCAATTCCGGTTGCCCTCATTAGCCAGTGTTTTAGCCACTATAGTGGCTACTGCTTCTGAACTGGTTGGACACCATGGAGTTAGATGGACAGCAACTGTTTCTGAGTCTGTTATGTCCCCATATATCAGGTCTTAAAACTGTTAGCTATTAGATATAGCTCAGCTATTTTAGATTATGTCTTTTCTGGCTCTGTGTAATTGGACTTATGGTAAATAAAGCACCTGCTTTTATATGAAGTGAGGTACAAAAATGTCCTAGTAAATTTTTAAAGCTCTTCAAAAAGTTTCTATATATGGCATAAACGTATATACATGATGGTATATTCTGATATAAAGAATTAATTGGCCCTCATCTGGGTGAGCTGCAAAGTCAGTAGTGAGTAACATACCCAGACCAAATCATGTACATATTCTGGGGATGGTATTTAGAAACTGAACTTTACAGGCTAATAAGAAATCAGAGTGAAATGTATTTGCATTTATCAAAGGCAAGGTAAGTTTGTGAATTATAACAAGGATGATGTGATATGTTGATAGTCTCTTCTCTTTGCCTTTCAGATCAATCAGTTCCAGCAACTGGAGCAAGAGATCACAAAGCCTGTGGAAAACGACATCTCAAAATGGAAGCCACCTCAGAGTCTTCAAACTCCAAACAGCTCTATGAGCTCTCAGGACAGAGAGCTGCTCTTCTTTTATTCTGACCAGTGCGAGACTCATTTCATTTCTCTCCTGAATGCCACTGATGCCTTTTTTAACTGTGTCAGTGCCGCTCAGCCGCCACGGATCTTTGTCGCTCACAGCAAGTTTGTCATTTTAAGTGCTCACAAACTGGTGTTCATTGGGGACACACTCACAAGGCAGGTGACTACTCAGGATATCCGCAGCAAAGTGATGAACTCCAGCAACCAGCTGTGTGAATTGCTAAAGAACATTGTTAGGGCAACCAAGATGGCTGCTTTGTATTATCCCGCCCCGGCTGCACTGCAGGAGATGGTCGACCGAGTAACAGAGCTGTCCCATCAGGCCCGACTATTTAAACTCTCTCTAGTACAGATGGCATCATTCTGAAATGGACAAAATGGAATCCATTCCATGGACAGTAAAAATTATTTAAAAAAACTGGAAGCATGTCCTATTTTATGTAAATATCATAATTTTTGTAGATGTTTTATATGAAATATTTTAAATACATTTTTATGGATTAGAAAATCTAAAATTCAGGAATCTAGGGGTATATCTGTTTCCCTATTATGTTTTTTAATATACATATATATATGTATACACTCCATATATGTATATGTTGCTACATTCCATAAGACACCGTTATTCAAGCACCTTAAAGGTATGCCTCAGTTAAGTGATGCATATCACTGTATATACTGTCTAGTTTTCAACCTATCCATCAATTGGATGCTGCACTCTCTTTGGGGGGGAGCATAGTGTGTATTTTGCTTCCACGTAAATGTGGCACATGGACAAAGCTGCCAAATCTATTTGTAGCAATTCATGGTGTAGATGTAATCGTTCTAATGGAACCCTAATCCCTTCCTCAAACATACTTGATTTGAATTAATTATGTAAAAAATGGTATCCTTGATTTTATCTTGCATACTACAGGAGTCACTGATGTGGAACAGTGTATATATTTAAGTTAACAGGCAATAAATCAAGGCTCAAACCAGCGGGGCAAAAACCATCCACATACAGCATAATATATAGATCCCCCTCACAAAGAACAGGGAGGATTGTATATATTTAAAAATAATTTCTTGATGCCACACAACATTTCAGAAACTTGGCAGAATTCCCAGCCATACAAATTCACGTATGTTTTTCCCACCTTCCCTTGGATTTTGCAAATAATTATATGTCAGACTTTAAAGTTGTAATTTTTTTTCAGACCTAGGGACTTACTCTGAGAGTTGCTGAATGTCCCTAAATCTTGCTGACATCAGTGGAATCTGAAGGTACACAACACCTTAGAAGATCAGGATTAATGAGAATGCATAGCATCATAATTCCACATGAAAAGACTTAATTTGCCATCAATTTTGGAACATCTCAATTAGAAGGCCTGTAATTTAAGAAGAGAAAATAGCACTTATTTCTATGGCAAATTCTTGTGAATCATTTGCACTTTTATAGCTCTGAACTTCACTCAAACTTTAGACTTGTTCCAAGTTATCCTTCCTGGCCTAGGGACACACCATTAAGTTTCCAGAGCTACACTGTCACCAAAGCAACACCCTGTTTCAAAAGGGGTAATTCCATATGTAGCAGACACAGTAACTTGGCCACAGTTCACATTACGTGGCCACTCCTAACTGGAACAGTGGCAATCAGGATTAAGGGAATGAAGTACAGGTGACGCTGAATGTACTTATGATTTAAAAGAAAAATATCGTTACCCACTTCTTTGTGATAATTCTGGCTTTTATCCCAAGTCTTTCAGTATTCTGAGTGTTTGCATACAAGACCAGGCTGGATTTTTGTGTAAACACAAAAATCACACCATGTAAAATACCAAGGCAGGAGGCACTTACGTAAAGTCTTTCTTCACAAAAGGACGTCTGGTATTTTTGTTCCAGCTTATGTCTAAACTCGTTCTCCAGTGCATGCCTCATTGCAGCACATTTGTTTATCTTGGATAACAGAATTGGTTAACCAGCAAATGAAGTTAATCTTTCCAAATATATTATCCCAGAGCAAAGTCTGCTCACCGTTGAAAGTCACCATAATGTTGTTTCCAGAGGGCTCAAACCGGCTCCCATTAAAGCCAGTGAGAGTTCAGAGAGATTTCAGTAGCAACAGAATCATACCCAGCACTTGCATTAGATATAATATTTAAAGATCTCCTCACTTTTATAAGAGGAGAAGAATAGTTACCCCTTATAAACAAAATAGGATTGCTAAAAAGTACCAAAGAAACCACTTGTACCTGCTTCATGCTTGTGTTGTTTAGGATTTTTCTACCTTTTTCTCCATTTTTCTATTGTGATGTTTTCTATGTAGACATGTGTCAATAGCTTTTGAGTGTTCAGAAGGGGGATTCATTTTTGACAAACTTACATTATTGTTTATGTGTTATCTTGTAGAGTATTTTTAAAAACATTAAATACACAAAGGCTTTTTTAAAAAAAAAAAAGTTTCCATGTTAATTGGTTTTATTCCTTCGTTGCAATTCTCTGTGAACTGTGGAAGCAAATGTTCCAGCTAAATACTGCTAAAGTTCTTGGGAGACAGAGTGCATCCACAGAAATGTCTCCCTGCACTAAGGGAATCGCTGAAACTGCATTCAAACCAGCTGAGGTCAAGGTGGCAAACACTAGCTAGAGAGGGTTTAAGGGAATTTGGCTTGTAGCGATCACTCTCTGTAGGACGACATTCAGATTGTCTGTGGAAAACCCAGCTAGGCTGGTTTTGTCTGAGTAACCAGTGTGGAGATTCGGGAGGTGAAGAAAGAAGTCCAGAGGAAGTTGGTGCCTGCGCAATTGGTCCACAGCCTGCACAGTTGGTCAACAGCAACTACCATGCCCCATTGATTTTGGAAACAGTGCTAGGCTGCTGATATCTCCCTGCAGGGTTCCTGGTTAATGGATGCACAATATTTAAGGACCCATTTAGTCACTTCCCTATCTCACTCATGGAACCCCTGTTTATCCTTCCCCTGAGACTGTTGATGTGTAGCAATGTTCTGTGGAACAAGTATCATCAGATAGAGAGGACATGTCCTCTCAGCTTAATACTATCTTGTTATCGTACCCATCAATGCGACTCTAGGATTCATTTCATCTCATGCCCAATTCTATCCCTGCCCCCTGAATCCAACATCTATGCTTCAGGCCATGTGGGATGCTGAAAAGGCACTCCTCCCAGTCTGTATTCCCTCAGCCTCAAGCAGAGGGAGCCTTAGCAATTCAGCTTTGGTTCAGGTCTTGCATGTCTGGGGCAAAGGCTCGAAATCCCAAATGGCTATGTGGCTTTCAGTTTCAAAAATTCCTTTCCAAAAATTATGCCCTACTGGTGCTAATGGGCTTGCTTCTCTCTTACATACCTATTGAGCTTCAGAAGGATGAAAGCAGAAACTGTCTTTCGAAGTCAGGAGAGAATTTTGCACCTTTCTGTGAGCTACTCTCTGTTGACTGTCAGGAAAGTCCCATCTTGTGTGAGTGCAAATTAATGCCTAATGCCGATTACTCCACTCCTTTCAAAAGGAAGTTTGCATCTGTGCATATTAGATTTAGAAATGTCTGGGCTTAATGGATTTGAACTTGGTGACTGGTGCATGCAATGCCTATTCTGATCACAGGCAATAGCTGCACCTTCTAAGATGACTCCACTATATTCTGCTTCAAAATTGTTAACCCCTCCCCCCCTCCGAAACCTAATAATAAAGTAACTGGATAACTGAAGGAATTGGAAATGAGAGCCAGAGCCTTTTATATGTGCGTCACTGTGACCTGGAACAGCAGCTGGCCAAGGTGAAAATAGTCCCTGGTTTCTAATGACTAGAAGGCCACATCACACTGTGTTCCTCTTTTGAGAGAGGAATGCAAATGCAGCTGAGCGAAATTGCAAAGGAAGCATGAATTTAAATTTCCCATGCTTCATTTGCATAAGCGCGTCCGGCTGCTTTTTCAAAATACCCTATTTCAAAAAAAGAAATGCTGTCTAGATGCGGTTATTTCAAAAGAAAACCCTTCTTTCGAAATTACCTTTAAACCTCATTTTATAAGGAGTAAGGGTAATTTCAAAAGAAGGGTTTTCTTTTGAAATAACCGCATCTAGACAGCATTTCTTTTTTTGAAATAGGGTATTTTGAAATAGCGCCCAGATGCAATTATGCTGTTAACCTTGAACAGTGCACCATATGGACAGTATGACATCTATTAACCATGTAAATCAAAATGGAGTTTGTGGACTGAGGGACAATTCAAGATGGAAACCTGAGAAGCTTTTACCGCCAAAATCATTATCTGCGCATGGCACATGGCTGTGCACACTGCACCACAGTGCTGCACATAGTACAGAAGTCTGCACCTGACTCTAGTTTTGCACCCAGCACTATGCCCTGTTTTGCACTAGAGACCCTTAGAGTTTTCCTGCCTTGAACTCTATAAAATCTAGAATCCTGAGGAGATCGGGTCGGCAGTTTCTTGCACCATCTTGGAGAAGGAGGTGTCCTGTCACAAGAGAAGAGGGTGGTGAAGACCCAGTCTAGCTGACAGACCTACATGATTCCATTCATGCCATCCTCAGGGTGCTTCAGCCCACACTGTGGCAATAGCCCAGCATCGTGAGCCTTAGCTATCTGATTGCTCCCTGCATCATTGGGACCGTAACAGAGCCTCAAACGTTGTTCGACACCTGCTGTAGTGAAGGCCCTCGCGGCACTTAGAATCGCTCTTTGACTATCGTTCACAAACTGCGCGTTTGTCCGTTGTGCAAGCAGATTCTTAACAGCAAACCAAGCGTCTCACATATCCTCAGGGATGCCTCAGTGTTCCTCCCTTGACAGCTACCTTAAGCTAAAGGGTTGAAGGTCCTGAACATCAAAGCTGCCTCTGACGGACTAAGTATAATATTCTGTTGCCAGTTATATCTCTCCTATCTTCTTTTATTTCAGAGGGTGAGGAGCTGGGTTATTGATTCAGTGTTGTGTTGCTGTTACTTGTTGTATCTTCAGTATACCTTTTAAATTTGAATCTGACACATGGCCATGTTTATTTAACAGGATGGGGGCGGGGGAGGGGGGGTAAATCCGCCGGTGACATATACGTTGGTTTCCAGATCGGACCTCCTTCTGAGGACAAAGGCATTTTAACATCTAATCAGAGCAGGCCCCGTTAAATTTCATTTACTAGTGCGCCTTTGCTGGTAACAATGCAAATGCAGCGTGGGAAATTCAAATCCACGCTTCCTCTGCAATTTCGTTCCTCTGCATTTGCATTCCTCTCTCAAAAGAGGAATGCAGTGTAGACATACCCAAATAAAAACTTAAACAGCTCCTTACCTCAGAGCCCTGTATAATGATTAATTCATAAAGATAATTTAGCACTACTCACCCTCTGAAGTCCAGCTGCTGGAAGGTTAAGGAGATACAGTACTCTAAAATTGTTAATTCCAGTTTATAGACGTCACCAGATCCAGGGATATTATTTACTTTTACAATGGAGGATATTGCTAACTATGTTTTATATTGTTGAACGTCAGTGATTCGGGCTGGCAATTGCAGCATAGGCACTGAGGATTAAATGGACCTAGAGGCTGGACCACACCCTCAATGATCTTGTGAGCGAGAGAGATTTGATGACATCTCTTGCCCATGCTGAAGGTGAATTTGTTTCCCAAGTTTGTTTTCAATCCAGTTTTTTTTATGGCTGTTTTAAAAGTTAATTCTCCCTGTAAAAGCAATAAAAGAGTGGCCATCTCTTTGTAAATACCCCCATATTAATGTTGTGGCTCATGTCTTATACCTTTAACCTCTTCATTCTATCCAGCATTCACCAGCTAAAATAATTATTCTCTCCAGTTGATGTAGTCAGAGCATTCTCATTGTTCAACTTCCCACACAGGTGTACTTGTCTCTTTCTACACAAAGCTCCAACACCACAGGTCAGGTGCTGCTCCTGTGTACATCTCACCTCTTTTCCCATATACATTCTGCTTATTTCTTCTCAGCTTGTCTCTTACTCCCATTCCCATCTTCATGCCTGTTTCCCATGTAACTTCCTTTGCTTGGATCATCATCCTTCTAAGACACTACTCAGGGTATAATGTGGGCTACTGAACATCCCCTTAACTCTTTAGCCTGGGGTACCTTGTACACCGATTTGCTGTCAAAATAGACATGCTAGGACTGCTGACAGAGCCTTCAGCATGCAAATTCACTCCCAAAGACTTGAGCACTCTGTCCAGTCACTCATGAATTACATACAGAACAACACCCACAAATTTTTAGCCCCAGACCTTCTTCCAGAAATATGCATCTTGTGCTTTCCAGCACATTATTGAATAGCACAAGCTCATAGAAAATCCCTCACGTCATACAAGGAAAATGTTAAACGTACCAGCCTTGTTATCCCAAATGGAGTTTCTCACACTCTAATACAAACACACTGGTTAAGATCAAACAATGAGATATGTTTATTAACTACCGAAAGAAATGTCGTGATTACACATGGTGATCACAGGCTGGGACCCCTCTCTCTTAGTTCAATGCTTTGAAAGTCATTAATGTCATGAGCCAAGAGATGGGAGGAGGAGAGATGAAATTAAGTGTTTTCTCCGCCTTTATTAGTCTATTCCTTGTGCTAGAGACAGGGCCATTGTTATGAAGCCTGGTGTCTGAATACCTGCACCCTCCATGAAGGACACAGTCACTCTACAGGTGGGGGCCATGCTCAAGGCTACCAGGCCACAGGGGAAGAGCAGGGCAAGGAAGCAAGCAGGGAAGCAGGCAGGAGGCACCAGGTGGGGAATGACAGGGGGAGGCCTG